ATCGATTGATTAGCAAATAAAACCTTGCTTCGTCGACAATCCCACCACAGAACTCTGATATGACAATCACTTAGGCTTCCTTTAATTTCCGTTCTGTTAAGCGTCTCAAGGTCACTGGTGGCAGTGTTAAGTTGTGGTTAACGTTTCGGTACTATAGGCTACATGGCCACAACCCGAGTTCGAGTCCCGCTGAGAGTGCAGGTGGGACTTTGGCGAGGTCGAAACTGCAGTCCATCCTGAATGAGGATACTTTTTGGAAAGTAAGGCTAAGTGAAACTCAATGGAACTGTGAGGCCTACCTTTAGCATTGTGAAAAAATTCAGCTACCAGTCCTTCACCACCTTAAACGAAATAGGATGAATACAGTTCTTATATCAAATCCACTGGTAGTCTTGAGAAACTAGTTATATAAACGAAAAACTGGTTAAGTGACTTTATCATTAACTTCTTCAGTTAAATGTAATGAACGCATGAACCAAATATAAACATTTGGCTCCCTTGTGTGATATTTTAGCTGATACCATTTCATTCGCTTCGTTTTAGCCAAAAAGGATTGCCGACTATATACGATTCTGCATGGCCATTATGCCAAGGGCTAAACAAACCTTGCATTAAATTGGCATGCTCACCAATACTGAGCCTCATACTGGCCCTAAAGTGTTGGCCTGATGGCCTGAGCCAAGAAGCAGTATCGCAGGTGGGCCTGGATACCAACGGAAAAAAAACTTGTATCAACGCGATCGTGGTGATACTAACGATGTTGCCTCATCTTCCTCTCGATCGAAAGTTTATGATTAAGTGATTCGTATATCTTGGTCTGCTGCCGTTTAGTTTACTGAAGCCTTCAGGTTGGGGTAGTCCTCGAGACAAGCTCCTTCTGTCACGAGTAAATTTTGCTCTCTGTTCGCCTGTCATGTATCATCACACAGATAGCATATTCAAGGATGCATTCTTAAGTTGGCTACGCACTTACGTTCCAGTAAAAGAAGAGGAAAGAAGACCAATGAGGACCCGCTTTCGTCATCTTGCGTGTCCGACCTAGGAATCGCTTCACGACACACTTGCACTCCGAAAAGAAACGAATTCAAAACTAATACCAGCTATTCTACATAGACAATAAAAAATAACTCCAAGCGAGACATATTTAGGCTGACTTTTAACAACGGTCTAGTTTCTGGTTGGTCCTAAACCCGGAAAGTTCGAGATCGAGGCCCTATGGTTTCTCAGCTCAAGGGGTCATAGTGAACATATCTTCTTTCCAGCCTCTCTTGAAGAAAGTGTGCTCTATACCGATAACATTTTGGGCAAGCTTGTATATGAGATTATAGCTAGTTTAAGTGGCTAACTGAACAAGAACGGCATTCATGACATGCATAACTGGCCGCAAAGGTGTCGACAATAATGAAGTCAATAAAGTGATATGAAAGTTGATTATACAATAACAGTCGTATTAACCCCAGATCACATAATGTGGTGAAGGATAGATCGTTGTATTTTCCCTCATTTTTATACCAGGTCTCACGAGGCCAATGAATTTCACATAAACTTGCTTCACAAAAAGTATTCGCATCCCGTCTGAAGTGGACTATAGGGTCGATATCGCCTGTTTCTAATCAGCACCACCTAAGAGAATCTAACCTATGTAGTGCAGCAAACTATTTAAACGCTTTATCACCATGCCACGCTGGCATGAAGAAAGAGGGTAACAGGACATGCGCGACTTTAAAAGAAGTTCAGGTCCTTCCTAATTCAAGTTTTGAAGTGGGGTTGTCGAGGAAACAAACTTTAATTTGGGATTACGATCGACTACATTACTTTTATTGGACTTAGTAAGCTTGTGATTCAAAGTTTCATTTCGAGGGAAAATTTTGTCGGGAGGAATTTGTGAATCAGTATAATTGGAAACCGAAGGATGAATGAATCTCGGGGAGTGAAGACGGTTGAATTGTGCGAATATTTTCTCTGCTCACTGTCCTGAGATTCCGATGAACCAGTGCTATGCTTTATCACGTACTGTAATATACATCGTCAGAAGATGAAACCATGCTTTACGAAATAGCTCTAAAAATATACTAAATCAGAAGAGAAGGTAGCCTGTTACAACCCCAGTCACTTCTCATATTTGGTCTCGTGATCCTGAGGCGCCCCATGATTTTATTAGCTACTTCTCGCAAACTTTTCGTTCATAAGGAGGGTTTCGAGACTACAAGTAAATCAGTTATATGGTAGCTGAATTTTCCAACAATGATATAAATAGAGCTGACGTTTCCATTGAATTTTGCATAGCCTTATTTTCCCAAAAGGTATTCTCGTCCAGAATGGACTGCAGTTTCGACCCCATCCAGGTCTTATCAGCACCCTCAGCGGGAATCGAACCAGGTTAGCGTGTCGAGATTACGGCCAGTCATGGTTCAACTCCTGCTGGAGGTGGTGATAAGACTTAGGCGAGGTCGAAACTCCAGTCCACATTGGATGAGAACACCTTTAAGGAAAGCAAAGCTGCCAGAGTCAGTCTCTTTGACGAGTTGTAGCTTGGTGATGCGAGTGGCAAGACTCATCGACGATGCCGGCGAAATTTCTGAAGATGTACCAATTTCCGGGTCTGACACTGGGAATTATGATAACTATTATAGCAGAGAACTTCGAACGAGGTGCGTCCAACTAAGTCGCCCTGACAAGACCAAGTTGCGAAAACGAAATCAACCAATTTATAGACGTCGAAAGAAGACTACGACCATAGCAAGGACCTCACAATCTTTATCTTCATATTTTCGACAAGAATTTTGTGTTCTATTTTCTAATAGCAACTATTCGGGCATCTATTTAATAATTTTTGCAAAATAACAGCTATTCCTTACGAATTCAAGCTTTTGTGCAATTTTATTCAGAAGGATTTTAATGAATTTCGGCCTCAAGAGACCTCTTGAATAGAGATACTCCATACCAGCCCAAATGTTTGCACTGTAAATCGCCAACGTCAGGCAGTTCAACTCTTTCAAGATATGTCGAATGATCATTTAGATTAAAAGGCATGCATAGAACAGGCCTTTTTGGTGTCCCAAGTTTTGCCACTTAAGCGAATTTTCGTCGGCAAATCATATTACACTTCCATACATGCAACGTATCCTCGTATTCTCACTAGATTCACTGGGGGACTAGGCTTCATCCAATAAATTCATGAACAAACACGCTGAATAAGATACGAGTGGCAGAATAAGTATATTGCCTAGAAATACGACTTGGATACCACTTTTGCCGTGGCCATATGGAGTCCGTGGTTGTGCAGTGTAGTGAGAACGTCCCCACGACACTCACAACCGAGTATAGAATCCCGTTTGGGATACTAATGAGACCTAGGCCAGATAAAAACTGAATCCGGCCAGAATGAGACAGACTTTGGAAAAAAAGGCTGATTAAAATTCAATGGCATCCTAATGCCTATTGATATATTTGTGGGAAAACTCAAACATCTGTCCTTAAATCCCCTCAAGTGGCTTAGGATAACTACGTTTTTATTCCGTTTTGGTTAACTACTTCATGTCTGTTCTACATGCTTTCGGATGAGTGAAGTCATGACGAAAATGATGTTGATGTGTTAAATATTGTTTCCATACGCAAATAAAAGTTAGATCTTGTAAAGTTAACAAGTTCATGTGGGGTTGTATGTGTGTTATGTACATGCAGACATAACCAAGCCTGCTAATCTTGCTCGGCATTTAATCCTGCTTGCTCTCTCCCTCTCTAAGCTTATCTAACAGCTACAAACATTAACCAACTAATTTTCTACACACGTTTCTTTTACTCAGGACGTTGGCTGTTTTTTCCTACAGACTCCCTATTCTTACACTTAGGTGTGTATTAGGATTGTAGCAAACCGTACTTTTTCGTTTAATGTAATTGTGAGATTTCCTAAAGTCTTGACGGCTCGCAGTATACCACTTATAAATGCTGCAATATAAGGCAATTAATATGAAATAGTTCACAAATCGTACTTTCTTGATTGTATTATATTTATTTTAGTAAAATATGTTTGTGATAAATTTATAACATTTACTCTGCATCGCATGCGCTCATAACTGTATTCGTCTCCCAAGCCTATACATTTGTGTACATCCAGCGAAGGAGATACCATTCTGAGCCAAGAAAGCAGCCAGGAAAAAGTTTCACATGGCTCCAAGAAAGAGGGTCTCCAGCAGTCAAGAGTAACTGGCAGAGCGCCACTTAGCTTGGAACTAGTAGGCAGACCAGCATCACCAGAGCCCCTTTTGTCCGTGAAAGTGGCCGTGACGGCGAAGGCATTTAAGGAGATAAGAGCCACCACAAGCCGTGAAGAAGTGGATGTAATTTCCGCAATTCAGTCTTTCCTGACCATCACAAGAAGCTTGAAACAAAAACGAACCAAGGCTCAACCTGAAGATGCGCTGCTAGCTGAAACAGAAGCCATCTCATATTCAAATGAGCATGGATGTCTGCGGTCCAAAGAGGCGCATGAGGTGACTTCGAAGGATGGAGTAATTGGAGTGCTGAGGAATCTGTTACACAGTGAGCAGAGTGGCTCTGATCAGATTGCCTCTCCACCAATGTACATCATGGAACAAGAGAGAGAAAAGGTAACGTCTTCATATATATATATGACCATATCAAATTTGATTATCCTCAAGCAATTTATTCCAAAAATCAGGCAGTCGTTAAAACACAAATGCCTTTTGTCAATTTTCATTTTTAGCTTTAATCCCGATGAGATATTCATTCTCTTTTCCTCATTGTTCCTAGCAGTCCGACGGTACCGCTTCGATGTTGGATCTAGCTTTTCGGCGCTTCGATAGTCTTAATAAGGTGAATCGGTTCCGAGCCATTCATGATCCCAGTCAACCAGCCTGTGGTCAACCTTGGTTTGGCTTGCGCAATGCCCTGCTCGGTAGGGGACCCAGCCATCTCCACCTCATTCCAGCAACTTGCAGCCCACAACCCTTCTCACAAACTCGTGACCTAAAATCTTGGGCGCGTGCTATCGTGATACAGGATAGCATCGGGAAGAAGAATATTCGCCTGAGTAAATTGGCCGACTGCTCTACCTTAATTGTTTGTCCATACCACGGTGTACAGAGACACAGCGGGTTGTGCTGCGTTAATGGATTGCTACTCTTGGAAAGCCAGAGGTCATCAGACTCCAAGCGGCGTCAGGATTGGACAATCTTAGACAACGACTACTTGAGCAATGGTAACACAGCAGTCAGGCCTTCAGTCCCCGGCCAGACAAAGTGTATATGGACCCGACTGGTATACTGGTTCATTCCAGCCATTTCATGGTGCGTGGTCGAAGGAGCTAATCCAGTGTCAAGACAGCTTCCCTGTCTGCCTTCCCACCCAGGACTAGTACGAAATAGAGCTTCAGGGCTGTTAAACAAATGCTACGTTAAAGATAAATTAGGCCTTTTCCAGACAGATTAGC